CCAGCATTCTCTTAGTTTGTGTTTTCTTTATTTTCTCTATTTCAGTTTTCAGGTCTTGAAATCTTCGAATTGTTTCCTTCATCTGTTTGATTGTTTTCTCTTGGCTTTCTTTAACAGATTTGTTCATTTCTTTCATTTGCATTGTTTGCTTGGTCTTTTCCTGTATTTCTTCTAATCTTTTGTTTGTTTTTTCTTCCATTTCTTTATCATATTTTCTTATATTATCTTCGAGGGTCTCTATCATTTTTATGAAGTTATTTTTTAAGTTCTTGTCTTCTGCTTCATCTGCTTTGGTGTTTTCAGGTCTTTTTGGTGTAAAGTCCCTAGATTCTGGTGGTGTCATACTGGTCTTTCTATTTTTGGGTTTTTCTTGTATTGCCATTTTCCCATTGCTTATTCCAGTGGGTGGAGGTGCAGTCTCTCTTTCTCTACCCTGTACTCCCAGTTGATGTATGTGGGTCAGGAGTTCAATGTCTGTAACTCTGAATTATCTGAGCTCTCTTGGAGGTCTCTCAAGCAGAGGCCACAACAGTGCTGATGGTGTGGGGAATGCAGGTTCTGGGTGGTCTTAAGTGCTTAGGTATAGGGCAGCCAATGTGGCCCAAAGATTAGGTGAGTGCAGTCTCAAGGTGTTCCTGCATGGATAAGTGAATCCAGTATGCTCAGAGCTGACCCACGAGATGGAGAGGGTGTTGAGCCCACCATCTGGGCAAATGCTCACTCTGAACAGTGGGCCAAGCAGGGCAAAGGATGAGGGGAAGGCAGGCTCTGGGTGTTTTATGATCTGGAATACCAGGACTGAACCACTCAGGCCAAAGGTATAGGGGGTAGGACCTGAAGAGCTAACTCAGGTTTTCCCAGGTAAATATGTGGGGCGATTTGTGCTATCTGTGTGGCTGAGACCATACTGAATCCACCCCTAAGTGCTTGTTTTGAACTTGTTTTTCCTTAATTAATGTATAGAACACATGACTGCAGATGATTCCACAGATACTTTACAAAGTGTTTAGATATAGTCATGTTTCAAGCTTTGGTATGCACAAGAAATTTAATTAATTTGCTGCTGGGAATGTTTTACCAAATTGTGCTGTTCTTATACTACTTGCGGTTGAACTCCCAAAGTGTGCCAACACCCACTGCTAAGTTAGTTTGAACACAACTCCTTTTTTTTTTTTAATCTCCCATTGATTGTTTCTTTACTCACCATGGTGGTTGTAAAGACTCCCTCAGGATTTGAACAAGATACACAGGATTTGAATATAATCCATTGCATGTGTGTTATGTTAGAAAATTTCAAAGAATAAATAAAAATTTACCTGTAAAAATACTTGTTTGTAAACCGAACTTCCATTCAGGGGATGGGGAGGTGTTACAGGCTAAAGGTTGTGTTAAAGGTTCTATACATGTTAAAGGTTCTTTGAGACAGAGTGATAGATTGGCACTTCAATATTGTAGAGATTTAGAATGTTGCAGATCCACAGTCAAATGTTTAGTAATTATCATGGGTCTCCTTAACAGTCCCAGTTTTAGATTTCATTTTTAAGGACTAGAAGAACAGTAAAACTACTTCTTCCTTCTAAAGACATACATAGTTCCTGTTGCTTTGGACAAATTGTCTGGGGAATCTTGTTGACCTGGGAGAACAGGAGCCTCTTCATTTACTGTCTTCTCATGAACACAGGAATGCATAGATAGGTACCATTCCCTTGCTCTCACACTATGGATACTGTAAATTTTTACCTTTACATTTCCATTGTATTTGTGTATTTACTCCAGTGTGATGTTTCTCAAGAGCCATTCTTCCAACCTGACTCAAGTAACCTAAAGTGCCTTTTCTAAATGCAAATTATGAGAACACTTGACCGAAATTGCTGGGAACAAGTCCAGATATGTATGTATTTCTAGCACACACCTATTGTGACTGTTACTGGCATTTGGGTTGTAAAATTGAATGCTGTTCTTTGCAAGACTCAGAAGAGCCATTAGCATTGGAAGCAACATCTACCACATTGTGAGTTTCCAGTGATTTAGTAAATAACTATAATAACAAGAAAAGTGGCAAGCACAATTTTTGCGTAGAGGAATTGACTCATAGTGAATAACAGAATAATGCAGCAAGGTCAAGATTGGGTTTTGATACATTACAACTGTTTTCTTAATGTCTTTGATTCTGACTCTGGGATGAAGCAGGAATTCTGCTGAAAATAGGCCATTATTTGTCTTACCTGTGAGAAAGGCATTGCAGATTTAACAACAAAACTGTTTTAAGTGTAATTCTATGAATTGTGAAATTTCTCAAAGGTGACTGATTTTTTTTTCCTTGCTTTTAAGTTGATAACTGAAACTACAGTCATTACCTGAATGGAGAAACACACAGAGAAAAATGATAAAAGTAAAGAAGGAAGGAGAAACAATGAGGTGAGATGTAGATCACAAGGCTGGCAGAAAATTGGGGAAAATAATAGAAGAAATTAATTTATTTTCAAATCTTTTCCCATTAAATTATTTTATAAGAAGTCTTAGGAACCTATTTCCTAGAGCATTGACTTCTCATGTGGACTGAGAAGATGATAGGCGAAGAGACTGCTTTTTCTGCCTTCATTTCATTTCTGCCTCATACCTTGACTGCACAGGCATCATTGTCCTTCAAAGAGTATCTGAGACTTATCACATATCATCCATTCTCAATCCTGAAATCTTCAACATTTAGTCGCTTTGGATTCCAGGAACAGCAAAGCCTTACAGGACAGACCAACCTAAATGATAGCAATTACAAATGAATGCAAGGAATCTTCTTAAGGTGTCAGTAATATGCCTCCTAAGGACCAATTTATTACCTTAAGTGAAGGGAGATACTCTGGATTACCTTACACATTCTGAGTTCAGACAACAAAAACAATGCTTATTGACAGAATCATGCATGGACTATAGTAACTAGATTTTGAATACCTCTTACCCTTTCCTTCATCCTTCCTAAATTTTTACTAAATTTATTCTTTTATTTTGCATCTTGACCACAGTTTCCCTACCCCTCTCCCATTCCCTCCCCTAACCTTCCCTCAGTCCCCTCATCTACTCCTCCCCTCTTTCTGTACAGAAAGAGGCACACCTCCCACGAGTGTCAACAAAGAATGGCATAATAAGTTGAGATAGGATTGAGCTTTTCCCCTTGTATTAAGGCTGAGAAAGGCAATCTAGCACAAGGAACAAACAGGTTGCCAAGAGACAGCCAAAGTGTTAGTGACAGCTAGGAGTTCCACGAGTAGACCACAACTTATATGCAAAGGGCCTAGGTCAGTCCCACCAAAGTTCCCTACTTGTCAGTTTAGCCCCCCCCCCCCCCCCCGTGAGCTCCTATGAGCCCAAGCTAGTTGTTTTTTGAGGTTTACCTTGTGGCATCTTTGACCCCCTGGCTAGTAGTAGCCTTTCTACCTCTCTTGAAAATGATTAGGGAATCCTGCTGGGCCAACATTTGGATGAGGGTCTCTGCATCTGTTCCTACAAGTTAATAGATGAAGGTGTTTTGATGACAATTGGGGTAGTCACCAATATGAGTATAAGCAGAATAATTTTAGGTTTTATTACATTGACTTATTTCCCTCATTTCTCTTATGTTCAATCTTAAGTCTCTGGGCCATCTAATTTCTGGGTCCTGACACTCTGGACCGTGTCAGAGATACAATCTTCCTCTAATTCTATTATTCTTAGGTTTCATCTTTTCATAGTATCCCAGATTTCCTGGATGTTTTATGTTAAGAATTTTTTTTTTGATTTATTATTTTCTTTTCTGATGAACCTATTTCCTCTATTGTATATTCAATGCCTGAGATTCTCTCTTCCATATCTTGTATTCTGTTGGTTGTTCTAGTTTGTTTACCAGGATTTTTTATTTCCAGAATTCCTTCAGTTTTTGTTTTCCTTATTGCCTCTATTTCAATTTTCAAGCCTTGAAATGTTTCTTTCATCTGTTTGATTATATAAAAATCCTTTAAGGGATTTATTTATTTATTTCTTCCAATTTTTTTGTCTGTTGTTCCCTTAATTTATTAAAGGTAAATTTCCATTTCTTCTTTAAGGGCCTCTGCCATCTTTATCAAGTCACTTTTGTTCTTTATTTTATTTACTTTTAAACTTTAGATTTCTTTTTTTCCTCTCTTTCTTTTTTTATTTTCTTTTACATGTTGATCCCAGTTCCTCCTCCCTCACTTCCTCCCTTCCTCTTACCCTCTCTCCCCCCTCACATGCACCATGACCACCCTCCCCTCCCATCCCCCCGCCACTCCACATGTAGGGCTATGCCATTTGAAATCATTTGAAGTAGGGACTAGGACTTCTCTCCTGTCTCTAAGTTAAGGCAGTATCCCTTCATAGGGGATGTATCCTCTATGTGCACCAGGAATACACCTGGTTCCACTGTCTTAGGTCCCTTAGACTGCTCAGTCCTTCTAGCTGAGACCCATATTCAGGGGGGCCTGAGTCAGTCCCATGCTGGCTTCCCAGCTATCAGTATGGGGAGCCCATTAGCTCCTCCTTGTTCAGGTCAGCTGTCTCTATGTGTTTTTGCAACCTGGTCTTGTCTACTCTCTCTACATCTGGATTCTAGTTCAACTCAGTGTTTAGTTATGGGAGTTTGCTTCTGTTTCCAACAGGTACTACATGAGGGCTCCATGATGGTGGATAAGTTAGTTGTTGATCTCACTATCAGGCATTTATGGTAGCCTTTCCACAGTTGCTCAAATTGTTAGTTGGAGTCAGTCTTGTAAGTCTCTAGACCTTTCTTTAGGTTCAGTTTTCTCTTCAAACATGGCTCTCTTTTTTATGTTCTCTCTCTCTCTCTCTCTCTCTCTCTCTCTCTGTTCTGTCTTCTATTCCTACCCTGACTCATATTCTTTTAAATTTTATTTTACATTCCAACCACGATTATCATGCCACACCTCTGTTTTCATTTTAGCTCCCATCCCACATTCCATCCCCAGTCCACTCCTAGAATTAAGGGCTCCATGAGGAGTCAACAAAAGCTGAAGGACCCTGATCAGCTATACACAACCCTCAAAAACCTGCTGGCTCAGATCAAGTCACACCCCAGTGCCTGGCCCTTCATGGAACCCGTGAAGAAATCAGGGGCCCCCGACTACTACGAGGTTATCCGCTTCCTCATTGACCTGAAGACCATGACAGAACGGTTGCGAAGTCGCTACTACGTGACCCGGAAGCTTTTTGTAGCTGACCTACAGCGGGTCATTGCCAACTGCCGGGAGTACAATCCCCCAGACAGTGAATATTGTCGCTGTGCCAGTGCCCTGGAGAAGTTCTTCTACTTCAAGCTCAAGGAGGGGGGGCTCATTGACAAGTAGTCCTCAGCTGGGCTCTGCAATGTCCGCCTCACCTGATCCGTTTGGGTGTTCCTGGCCCGCCTCTCCCTGACTCAGCAGGAGAAATTCCAGCCATGGACCCCAAATCTTCAAGACTCTTCAGCCAGCAGGCACTCCCAAGCCCGCAGCTCTGTTCCTGCCTTCATTGCATTCAGCCTTGGGGAAAAGTCTGGTCTGGGACCAGCCCTTCGTTGAATGCCTCGTGGCCAGGGGATGAACTAACTGCTCAGCCCTGGTCCTTAGAGAGCCACGCAGGCTGGGAGTTCTGAGCCTGACCCAGGTGCCTGTTTCCCAGGGTCAGGGCTATTTGGTGATTATGATTAGCCTTGGGATGGAAACAGCCAGGACTGGAGGAGCCATGAGAGACTGTGGCTCATCCTACACTGTTTTGTCCATCTGTCCCCCAGGACAGGGGCATAAGGACCATTCATTCCTTGGCATTAACATAAAGCACAGTAGGTTGGGGCAGGGCCAAGCGCTTCTCCCTTGAATTGAGGCTGAGCATGATATCCCACAATATCATGGGCTCTAATATCATAGGACTTGGGCTCTAACAAGCTAGCTCATATACCAGGATGGTATCCTAGTCCTACTGGGGACTGTGACTTGGGCCAGCCAGAGTAGAAGTGGAAGTCTATCTATTAACACAGTCTTGCTGGAACTATTGAAAATTGTTCTGACCTTACGTGTGCATCACTAAGTCAGCAGCTTAGAGAGAATTGAATCTCTTGTGTATGTCTTCACAAACCATGCAAATACACAATATCAAGTGGCCATTTCTTTCAGAGAATAAGCGCATTTTGAGGCAGAACATTGTTTCTCCATCTAACAGTCTCACATAACACAGAAACATTTGGGTTTCCAAAGCATAAAATGATTGTTGGAAGGAAATGAATGTAGTCCTTTTCATCCTAGTGGATGCCCCCATAGTTAAACTACTGTCAAAACTTGCCAAAGGAAGATAATTTGGTAGGGGTGAGGGCAAAGATGAATATTTAATTCCACCCAAAGTGACATCATGGAGAATCTGAGTACATTTTCTTTACTTGTTAATCCACTGATGAATACCCAGGCTTAAATATTAGTATATTAATGTATATAACAGAAGACATTATAACTAACACTATATAGACATAGGGTGAGATATTTATTAATGTATTGATCTTAAGTATTTTGGGTAAATTTAAAGAAGTGGGATAACTATGTCATATGGCCTTCCTATTTTTGTTTTCTTGAGTACCCTCCACACTATTTTTCTAATTACATTACCATAACCAAGGTGCAATAATTTCCTGTCTTCTACATTTTCACCTGTACCTATCATCATTGCCCAGCTTGATGATGGCTCTTACAATGAATATGAAGGGACATCACAGTTTTGATTTGCATATTTCCAGTGATTAATGGTGCTGAACGTTTTTTCATACCCATTGACAACTTGTATGTCCTTTAAGTAGACCAGCCATGATGGCCAGGGCTACACAATGAACCTGTGCCTCAAAACCAGTTGGTACTTTGCTTTATTTCTATGGAGCTACTTGAGAGACTCTTAGCATATCTGGAATTAATCTTTATCAGGTATATGACTTATAAATATTTTCTCTCAAACTCTTGGTCATTTTCAATACCATACTTGGTTCCTTCAACCTTGCTTATTAGTTTGATATGAACTACTTTTTCTATTATTCCTTTGCTAGCCCATGTTTTTATGTGATTAATTTTTAGAATTTCTGTCATTGAACATGGAAAGATGGAGCTGTAACATCACTAGAAGCCTCACCCATCCTGAATAGCATTCTTAGTGCTGAAATCTATTATCCATGCTACCGTGGAAGAAAAGTAATTGCTAATATTACTCAGCTATGCAGTCTGTGACCTATAATAATGACATGCCTGAAAGATATACTGTTAGTAGCACAAATGTTATATAAAAATTTTGTTTTAATGCCAACACCATGAAATGGACACCATACCTAAAACTACTAATGACATGAAAACTTGAGACAATATGATAATGGGCCTTAAAGAAAAACATAATTTTACTATTCTGAATAGTGGACATAGCAATAAAATGAATTATTGGTATAACCATAGATCAGTACATCACTCAATCCTCATCAAAAAAGCTTCTTCTTGAAGTGGAAGGTAGTTAATACAGAGACCTACAATTAGAAAATGTGCAGAGATTGAGAAACTTTACAGAACTCATCCTTAAATAGGTAGCTTTATCACACCCCTGCCTTCACAACTCAGAGTTCTGTGGTAAGAAGAAGTGGAAAGATTGTAAGAGACAGACGTAGTGGATGTCTCCAGGAAACAGCATGTTTCAGACACAACAAGGATGACACACACATGAATACCCAGAAATTGTGACATGAAGTTAGGTGTATAGGGAGGGAAAATGTGACAGAATATGTAAAACCTGTACAAATTCAATCTAAACAAAATTCCAATCTTGAAGAAAGGGAAGTGCTCATAAAGTCTCATCCCTTACCAAGAAGCTATTTATAATTATACTTGCTGGAAAAAATATCTGCTTCTCCAAAGGCTGAACTGTGGATGTATCAAGAACACTTGAGACTCCATAATATTGTTTTATTTTATTTGCAAGAGAGAAACTGTGTGAAGTGAGATGAGGAGGGAAGTAGGGATGATCTGGTAGGATATAGAGAAGGGAATAAGATAACATCAAATATGCACAAAATTGAAACAATAAAAGTATAAAAAATATTCTGAAATTTTATGCATTATTATATTTTGAAGTCCAGGCAACATACTTTTCAGTTAGATGCAAGTTTTTTGAAGCTCAAATTTTAGGATGTATATTCTTTTTATTTTTCCTGTGTAATTACTTTCTAGACAAGACAAATTTTGAACCCTTACTCTGTTTTTGTGCTCTTTTTCAGAAGGATTCTCCTGATTTGGAGACTATAACCTTGATAGGATTTCTTCATGGCACAGGTTCCAAAGACCAGTGATTCTGCTTAGGGACAGTACACACAGTTTATAGCCCAATTCACAACAGTAGGATCAAGTATACCAACAATTTATCTAGTTTTATCTTGTACTCAAAAAGGACTAATTTTGTCTTATCTACTGAGTTTTTAAAAAATGTATTTTATGAAAAATCTCTTGAATGATTTTATCCAAAATGTCAAATTTTTCTGGAGCATACTAATCAATGAATTTAGGTAGGACTTTGTAATTAGCAGCAACAGTTTGAACACATATGCAAACCTTCTAATACTTTGAATTCCCTTTGAAAAATGTAGCCAATTGAAGGCTTCTTACAGGATGCAGTCCTTTTTCAAGTCTTTCTTGTGTTATTTATTGCTATAGATCCAGTTATCCTGGTAAAATCACCGAGTAGTTGTATCATTTCCACAATATTTCCTTGTTCTCTTTTTGGGTACATAGCCTTATTCCATTATTTAATACTTCAACTCCACACTATAAGATAATGGCATGGCTGATGGCATACCAGCCATTTTCCTTCTGAAGTCTTGAATACAAGAGTCACTTTCCACCACAATACTTAAATTTGAAATCTAACTTAATTCAGAGATCTTGAATATTGACCACATAAGAGGCATAGTTCTCTTGGTCTCCACTAAATGAATCAGTTTCATGGTGTATCAGAGGACAGCATCAGATTATTGCTGGAGGTTGATAATGGCCATCAGTTTTGAGATTAGAATTATCATTGATTGTATCAGTGCTATATAGTTTCCCCTATGCTTTCTAGTTTCTCATCTTATATTTGAGTTAATATTTTAATTTTGCATGAGAATGAGTCTATATTTTTATTTTGACTCTATAATCCAGTTATCCTAACAACTCAATGAAGAGACAGTTTTTCCTCTTGTGCATTCATAACTTCTATTTCACTCTTTTCTTTATTCTGGAATATCAAGTCATCAAATGTAGAATGTTCTAACACTAATCTTTTCATTTCCTTTTCAAGATACTTTTTACTTAGTTATTTGTCTTTCTTTATACTTTTAAATAATCTTACAAAATTATCTTTTATTTCTTAAATGTTTTCATTTTAAATTTGTAGATACATATATAATTTCATAATTTATTAAATTTAGTAGGCTCTTTCTATGAACACTAATGGAAGTGTTGCTTAGTGCATAAAGGCAAGGGGAAAAAAAACTATATGTTCCCCTATAGAAGCTTTCAAGTAGGCCTCTGCTTTTGCTCAGACATCTCAGGCTGCTCTTGTCTGCACTTACTGTATTCATTACTGTCTTCCCTAATGTGGTCTTATTACTGAGCATTCTAGACATTGACTTCCTTTGCTTTTCCTAATCATTCCGAAATAATTACTTCATGTCATTTTTCAGGTACTTATACAAGAACCCTGTAGAGCATTGGAGTAACATGTTCTTCATCTATTTCTTTAATTTAAATTTATGTTTTTGACCTCATTAACATTATTAGGTATGGGTACCATCTCATTAAGTGGGCCTTAAATTAAAAAAAAATTGTTTGTTGTCTACCATTTGTGTCACTATTTTATCAGTAGCCATATCTTGCAAGCAGATAACAATTATAACTTGAAGCGTTTATAGCTGGAAGAATCTTCATATTACTTTTTCCTCCAGTGCCATGTCCAGCACTTTGTAGCACTATGAATAGTAGTAGGAATAAATCTTCCAGTTGAGTATCAACTAGATTACTTCATGTTCTATGCCATAAATAAGTCGTGTCTTCAACAAAGTAATCTTACCATCAAGTTGTAGATAACAATCAATAGCATTAACAATAGCCGGAAATGTTTATGGTGTTTATAGAGTCTATAGAGCCATTTAGCCAATGATCTCTGTTAGAAGGCCTGGGCCCTCTAAGGGACCTCTGACTGTGGAACTAAGATATATTCCTGGTGCATGAAATTACTTTGGGAGCACATTCCCCATGGAAGAATACTCCCTTAGCCTGGAGGCAGGAGGGAGGCCCTAGACTCTACTCCAAATGACTTGATATTTTGATTTTGATGATCCCTCTTAGAAGGTTGGGGAATGGGACAGGAGGACAATCAGGGGGGCATGGTAGGGAGAGGAAATGG